TTTCAGTGATTTAATGTCCCTCCTTTGTCTCATCCTGTTTTCATCTTTGGTGCATCTGTCCCCCTCATTCACTGCGTAGACAGAGCATTTTATTTAGACATCTCTCCTTTTCCTACCTTTTGGGATAATTTGTTATTGTATCTCAAAAATATCCATTTAAAAATAAACCTTTTTCTGTTCCTCAAATAATTTCTGGAAACGACCCCAACTGTAATAAATACACATTTACATGCCTTACCTGCTGTCCTCTGTAATGTTTGCTTTGCAGTTTGGTCTGAACATTTTTCTCCATTCCCATCTACCTTTTAAGTTCAAAGCTTACTTAGGCTGTTTTGCAATTCCCTTTGCAAATGCATTTCTGTATCATCTGATCATGCTATGTGCATATTGTATATGCCAATGCCTGCAGGTGTCTAGGCTGTTTTGTTTATAGAGTATTTTTCTCTTACTGCTTCTTGTCTTTCATTCTCACTTTTGGTATTTTATTTATTCCTGTTCCTCTAAAGGATGTGAAACTTAAACCTGTATTTAAATTATCAAAAGGCTCAGTAAAAGATTCACTGAGGATGACAACGACAAACTTGCTCTTAACTTAGGTTTATGGATTGTCTGTGACATGGGCTCTCCACCTTGGAGATGGCGTAGAGAAGGAGGAGGTATGGAGGCCAAGGCAAATAATCAGAGTTGGCCTGAGAAACTTTTTCAAAATGTATGTGCTGCATCTCTTTCCTGATCCTTGCCCTGTCGAGAGTGAAACTAGGCGGATACTGTGTGTTACCCTCTCAGCTGAAATACTCATCTGTAGTTTTCAGTTACAATAATCTGGTTTGTCAGTGCCATGCTTATTACGATTATTTGTTTCATTGTCTAAATATAAAAATAAAACTATCAGTTCATTTTGTTTAAACTGAAAAGTGAAAAACTAATGTAAGCATTTATTTACCTGGTTAAGGACGTTTTCAAATCAAAAGGCGAGAAAGTGCAATTTTAATAAATCATAAATTGGTTTGATACACGCACTTTGCCTCCTCTGTAAATATTCAGTTAAATATGAATTAGTTAAAATATAATTACATGCAAGCATGTTGCCATGGATTGGATGAACTTCAGAATGCTGGAAACAGAATATTCAAAGTTAATAGAGAACAGTTAAAGTTACTAATGATATTTGTAGGAAATATTTTGGAATAGTGCAGAATGGAAACAGTGAAACTCAGAATCAGAGGTACTAGGTTTGAATTCATGCTTTGGCACCTACTAGCTCTCTTGGGCCTGGTGGTTAGGCCTCAAGGCCTCAGTTTTAACATCTTTGGAATGGTTATGACCCCTACCTCACAGAGTTGTTGCAAAGATCAAATAAGGTCTTGAATGTGACAGTGACTAATACCTAAACACCCAACAAATGTTAGTAGAATCTGGACCTACGATCAAGGTTTCCATGTTATTTTTAACTTTATGTGTGTGCATTTGAATATGTAAAATGCATAGAGAATTAAGCTTAATATCTTCTCTTTTCCTTCTTTCTTTTTGCTTTTTTTTTTTTTTTTTTTTTTTTTGAGACACAATCTCACTCTGTCGCCCAGGCTGGAGTGCGGTGGCGCCATCTCGGCTCACTGCAACCTCTGCCTCCCAGGTTCAAGCGATTCTCCTGCCTCAGCCTCCCAAGTAGCTGGAATTACAGTTGCCCGCCACCACACTCAGCTAATTTTTGTGTTTTTAGTAGAGATGGGATTTCACCATGTTGTCCAGGTTTGTCTTGAACTCCTGACCTCAAATGATCTGCCTGTCTTGGCCTCCCAAAGTGCTGGGTTTACAGGCTTGAGCCACTGCGCCTACCCAGCTTAATATATTCTTAGACTATGGAGGGCAGGTAAGATATGGAGTGTAAGCATGTGATGTATGTGAGTGTGTATTTCTTGAAGATATCATTTCAAGTAAGTTTTTAGATATTTTCAAACCACATACACAGGCTGAAAAATGTGCAGTGTTAATTTCAGAGAGTTATAGTCATGGTAGCATTCTTCTCACCCTCCTGTTCTTGTTTTCCTTGTGCTGGATCTGTTTTGGCGGCGTACTTGGTTCTCAAGGGGGTAATGACTTTACCCTTAGTCATGAATACTCCTACACAAATTTTTTTTTTTTTTTTTCTAAATGAAAACTAAATATTAGTATTGTATCCCTGTTTTATGCCCATATAAGAAAGTGTTGAGTTTAGTTCCTCACTATGAAATGTAAAATGTGTGGAAAGCAAATAGTATTCTTTGTGGTAATGACACAAATCATTGAGTGCATGCTATGTTAGGTGCTTAACATATATTATTGATCACATTACAACAAACTATAAAATAGGTGATATGTAATTTTTCAGATAAGAAAACTGAGGGTCAGAAGGATAAATATATTTTCCAAGGTCAGAGAACTATTAAGAGAGAACCAGAAAGCAAGTTCACATTGGTCTGACTAAAGCAAGGGATAAGGTTGCTGCCCAGTCACTAGCATAAGTCAAAGGAATATGTTTTAAGGTATAAAAGAAGTTAGAAATGTAATAGGGATACTTTTGCCCTTGGAGGAGGCTGAAGCCTGCAGGACGGACAGTGCATCTATTCTCAAGAGGTTGTCATTGATCCAGCCTAGGCCCAGCAACAAGGCCCAGGCAGCTTCTGGCTTTTTTTTCCTTTTCCCTAAGCTTCTTTTTCTACTGTGGTGTGATTCCCCAGATGGTTCTCAAGGCATTGCTTATCACTTAGAACTGTGTACTCAATGCCTCTCTCTCATCCCAGTTCCACTGCCCAACTCCCACCCCATAGAGAAACACACAACAGAATTACTGTGAGAATTATATGAGTTAATATATGTAAAGGGTTTAATACAGTGTCTGATAAATAGTAAGTACTCAATAAAATTGGCTATCATTTTTTTAAAGTCTTTATCATTAAGTATTATTAGACCAGGCGCAGTGGCTCATACCTGTAATCCCAGCACTTTGGGAGGCCAAGGTAGGCGGACCTCTGAGATCAGGAGTTCAAGACCAGCCTGGCCAACAAAGTGAAACCCCTGTCTCTACTAAAAATACAAAAATTAGCTAGGTGTGGTAGCAGGCGCCTGTAATTCCAGCTACTCAGGAGGCTAAGGCAGGAGAATCGTTTGAACCTGGGAGGCTGAGGTTGCAGTGAGCTGAGACCATGCCATTGTACTCCAGCCTGTGTGACAGAGCAGAACTCCATCTCAAAAAAAAAAAAAAAAAAAGTGTTCTTAGTAGTGATAGTAGTGGTGATGGCAATGGTAGCAGTGATAGTGGTGGTGGTGGTGGTGATAGCAGTAGTGGTTGATTCAAAGGTTTTATGACACATTTTTCAAGGACCTGATTGTTCCCTGTCCATGATCTGTCTTTGTGCAATTCATTATACAGGGTCACAGGCATAGACATGCTTAGTCAGACGCCCAGGATAGAAGAAGGGAGAATTAGTAAGAGAATGCTTGTTTCTACTCAGAAGGTGCCAGAAACAATTCTCTGTATGCCCTACTTCCTTGTTATCAGCCATGGAAACAGTCCACAAAACCTATTTCTAAACCTCATCTTGCCTGGCTTTTTTTCTTTCCTTCTATCTGTATAGATAGAACATTTGGAGTCACTGGTTTGGAGTCACTGATAGGGTCACACACACGTTTTTTTGTTGTTGTTTTCTTTCAGTTTGGTAAGTTATACCTGACCTTCATGCCGGGTTCCCAGACCTGTTGCTGTGCTGAAGTGTGCAAAATTACTTGATCTGCAAAGGCCTCTGTAGTTGCCCCCCTTTTTTTTCCTACTTACTTTTTTTTCCCCTTCATATAAAAGTTTCCATTTTAGCATATGTATTGACTTTACCTTTTCTGCTTTTCAGTTTGTTCTCCTAATTTTTATATTTGGTTATATTTCCTGTTCCAGATTTGAAACCACATTTTGCATAGCAACAGAGTTTAACCGTGTGAAAGGCTATTGACAGATGCATGATTTTATAAAACTTCTTATGAACTCAGTGGAATTGAACCCTGGCTGGAGATTCATTTTAGGTGGAAGCATTCCTTCTTGTATTCCCTTCCTTGATCCGTATTATTGCACTTAGCTTATCTCAGTTGAGAATGTTTAGCCCTTATTTTCTCTTTGAGCAAGTGTTAACATCTACAATCTTTATCATCTCATCTACTTTATAACATTAAAAATACATGCTTCAGTATGCTTTCTAATTAATCTTCCCTCTCCTAAAATACAAGTATACAGAACTTAAAGGGTATAATTTCAGATCTGGGGATTATTTTGTCTATCTGTAATGGACAGTATTTAACTATTAATAAACAATATTTACTGCAGTTATATCAGCTCAAAAGTAATTGGCATTCTTTCTAGAAGATGCGGATTATGAAAGGTAAAATAAATTAAAAATCACTTTATTTTAATACCCAGAGATGACTGTAGTTGAAATGTTGGTGTATTTCCCTCTAGTCTCCATTTAACTTTATATATTCAGTTGTATATATTCATTGATATCTATAATATATATTCATTTTTGGAATTATGTAATTCTGTTTATATGAATTATATATAATGAATGAATTATATTTATTAACTAAAGTTTACAGTTTATATATAAACTGCAATTCATGCTATATTATATAGCAGTATTATGATATTCCAATAATTTTTTTGGTACAAGTTTGACAAAATAAAAAATTAATGATTTGAAGAAAACTGAAATAGATGATTTCTGATTATAAAATATGCATGTGTACAATACAAACATTTAAATATTAGAAAAATAGATCATGATAATTATGAATCCTACAATTCCCCTATTCCCACTGTTAGTCTGTTTATAAGCAATTTTTAAAAAATGTATTTATGATGAGATTTTTATCGTGGAGGAATGTGGAATAGATGTTCTTTGCTCTAGGCTTAGTCAAATATGCGGTGACCCACAATGTGTTTTGTGAAATAATATCTCAGTTTTTTCTCCATGCTTTAGGTATGTATTCTTTTTGGATCCATGCAACCTGGACTTGATAAACCGGAAGATTAAGTCTGTAGCACTGTGTGTAGCAGCATGTCCAAGGCAAGAACTGAAAACTCTGAGTGATGTTCAGAAGTTTGCAGAGATGAATGGTGAGACATTAGGCCGTCCAAATCTATGTCCTATCACCTTGTTCTCTTTGTTAAATATAAATTTGCCCTAGTGTTAAATAAATTATCAAGGAACCTTAGATAATTGAAGTAATTTTGGACTTCCTTGCTAAAAAATATTATAGTCACCCAGGGAGCTTGTTAAATTCCAGATTCCTGGGCCCCACCCAGCAAAATTCTGACTGAGTGGGTCTTTGCGCTCTGGAAGTTAGTATTTTTTAAATAAATATCTCAGGTGACTTTGATGTAGTCTGTTGAGTGTTTGGAAATTACTAAACCACTCTAGGTAAAATTTATTTCTTCTTCCCCCTTCCCAAGGATTGGTTAAAAGTATTTCAATTCACATTTATATAAATTGAAACAAATTTTATATATTGAAATAATATATATACGTGTGTGTGTGTGTGTGTGTGTGTGTATAACCCTGGTTAGCAATGTAACATATGCATATTATAGGAAATTCGAAAAGTTCAGAAAAAATAAGAAGTAGAAATTAAAATTCCAGCATCAGTACTTTTTCAATGAGTCGGTGTGTATATAGTTTTGTGTTCTGCTTTTTAAATTTAATGTTCTGTCATATCTCTTTTTCTAAAAATAATTGTGAGAAACTTTGAGGCTAAACATAGGGGAATTAGCTGAGAAAACTAACATAGTTTCCTGAAATCTAGCTCTGTTCTCTGAGGCATTTTATCTGTGGGTACCATCCTCAGGTCCACATGGCTTGCCTCAATTCTTTTCTGAGAATCGTTTTTTTAACTACCCTTTGTAGAGGCCCCTGTTTTTGAATTTCTTTGAGGTTTCATGCTTGTATTTTGTGTGTAGGAATCCTCAGAGCTGCCTTGGTCCTGCCCAGATCCACAGGCTGGTGCTGGTTCCTTGGAACAAGGACCAACCCAAGTACCCAGTGGGTACAACTTCTGGCTGGGTGGACAGACAGCCTGGAACCATAACTCTGCACATACTAGCATGGCTCCAGTGTCTTCCTGTTGGGGATGCTAGCCTTCTGAAGGCAGGAGGACTGCAGCCTTCCAGGCTGGCAGTATCCCTGTTCCGTTGTTCCATGCCCTCAGCATAGGACAACATGGGTTGATTTGGGTCTGGATTCCAGTGCTGACTGTCACTGACTGCCTCTGTAATAAGGGTAAAGGGTAAAAGTTCTCTGAGCCTAGGTTTCCTCATCTGAAAAAATGTGGATTAAAAATAATACTCCCTCATACGTTGTTATGAAGATTAAGATGATGTATGAAGAATACTGAACACTTGGCAGGCACTTGAATAAAGAAGTGTCAACCACTCTTCACGATCTCATTTTTTATTTCCATATGGTATCCCCACATGTGTTGTTGCTGAGCCTCTTACCAGAACTACCAGCCTCATCATTATAAGGTTTTTTAGGGAGAGGTGAGCCCTTCCTCAAGGGTTTTTCCAGAATTTTAGACAATGTGAGTATACTCTGACAAGTGATGTGGTTGAGTGGTTAAAAGTATACGCTCCGGATACTTTAGATACTGCTAATTTTAGACAATGTGAGTATACTCTGACCAAGTGATGTGGTTGAAGTGGTTAAAGTATACGCTCCGAGGATACTTTTAGATACTTTAAATTTTAGACAATGTGAGTATACTCCTGACCAAGTGATGTGGTTGAGTGGTTAAAAGTATACGCTGTATACTCTGACAAGTGATGTGGTTGAGTGGTTAAAAGTATACGCTCAGGAGTCCGATTGTTTGGGTTCAAATGTTGCTTCTACCACTCACTGGCTGTGAGACCCTGGGCAAAGTACTTGACTTCTTGCCTCCGTTTCCACATCTATGAAATAGGGATAATATTCATACCTAATATACTTCATAGGATTGTTATGAGGACTTGATACATGAACAATGCTTAGAACAGTATCTGGCAAATATTAAGTTGCTAAGAAAAATTATTGGCTGCTGCTATTATCATTATAATTATTAATATTATTCCACTAATGGAATGTAATAGTCTTTCTGCCTCCAATTTCTCTCTAGTTTTAGCTCTCTTATATACTGCTGCCATGTTAATATTCCTAGAGCTTCAATCAATGCTAACCCCTTGCTCAGAAAGCATCCATAGTAAAAAATAAAAGTCTATATCTCTTATGCTATCATTCGAAGCTATGATCTAGTCTCGAACTATCTTCCAACATGTCTTCTCAAACCCACTGGTTGCGAGTCTTGGTCCCTTGAACCTGAGTTGTCATCTGGAGGGCTAGAAGAGAGCTAGGTCCTTGTTAGCTGTGTGGCCTGCTGAGATGTTCCCTGGAGGAGAAATGCCCCATGCTCCCCTGCTGGTATGCTTTGTTTCCAGGCTGGTATCCTTCTAAGTGAATATAATACTCACTGTGGCCTGTTCAGGTTTAGTTAAGAAGACCCTCCTGGTGGGTTTTACAGCTTTGTGTTTCTCACTGTGTCTTGCACAAAGTAGCTGCTCAAGATTTGTTAATGAATAAACATTATTTCAGAAAACAGACTTCTTAAATTGGTGCCTAGCTACAAAGGTACCATTGGGGTTTTGTGCCAGCTGTATGAATAATAAGTCAATAAGGTAGCCATAAAAAATGACAGCATCAAGAAGTACAATGATGGAGGATAGAGAAGACAAAATTTTAACAGGCAAATAGAAAAGCTATAAAATTATATCAGAGAGAGAGCCTTTGGTATAGGGGCCTAAATACCTTATTTGAGTAGCAACCCTAACTTGAAATTTCTGAATTTCTCAAAAGAACCTATGCTATTGTTTGAATTGGTAACTTAAAACTAGACCTGGTAAGATTTAATTCCAATATTACCCTTGTCACTGAGAGAACTATTTCTCTGCTTTTTGCATTATTTTTCCTTCTTTTGTCTTTGTAAGTTACCTGGTTTTTTTTCTTTTTCTTCTTGCTTAAAAGACAGAGTAAAGTGCAGTAGTCTGGTCTGTAGGCCAGTGGCACAGTCATGGTTTACTGCAGCCTTGTACTTCTGGGCTCAAGTGGTTCTCCTGCTTCAGCCTCCTGAGCAACTGGGACTATAGGCATGTGTCACCATGCCCAGATAATTTTTTTACTTTATGTGGCAATGAGGTATCACCATGTTATCCAGGCTGGTGTCAAACTCCTAGCCTTAAGTAATCCTCCCTCCTCGGCCTCTCAAAGTACTGGGATTACAGGTATGAGCCACACACCTGGCCATTCAGTTATCTTTTCTATCGTTTGAGGTGCAAGTTGATTCAAGAGTAGCAAGAAATTTTTATTAGAATCTGTGTCTGCATGTTGTTACAGTATATTTCTGTTAGAAAATACACAGACCCTGTAGCCTCAAATATATAAACCTCAATCGTTAATTTCAGAGAGGAATAGCTTTAATATATAATTCAAACTTAAGTGGGAAATTTTCAAGTCAGTAAGAGGGGATAGTGTAAAGTCCATGAAAGAGCCTAAATGTAAGAGCTAAAACTGCAGAAACTCTTAGAAGAAAATGTAGGGGAAAGCTGCATGGCAATGCATTTGGCGATAGTTTATTGAATGGCACCAAATTGCACCAAAAGCACAGGCAACAAAAGAAAAAAATACATAAATTGGATTACGTCACAATTGAAAACTGTACATCAAGGGACAAAAATCAACAGAAGGGAAAAGTCAACCCATAGAAGATACTTGTAAATCAGATATCTGGTAAGGAGTTAATATCTAGACTATCTGAAGAGCTACTATAAAAAAACACACCTAAAATCACACAAGTGTTCATGAGGATGTAGAGAATTGGAACCTTTGTGTACCATTGATGGGAAAGTAAAACGGTGCAGCTGCTATGGAAAATAGTATGTAGGTTCCTCAAAAAATTAAAATTAGCATATGATACAGCAGTCCCACTTCTGAGAATATATCCAAAAGAATTGAAAAGAGGATCCTGAAGAGATATTTGCACAATCATGTTCGTTGTAGCATTATTCACAATAGCCAAGAGGTGGAAGCAACCTCATGTCTGTAGACCAATAAATGGTTGGAGAAAATATGGTGAACTACCAGTCATGGTGGCTCACACCTGTAGTCCCAGAACTTTGGGAAGCTGAGGCAGGAAGAGCACTTGAGTTCAGGAGTTCAAGACCAGCCTGTGCAACGTAGTGAGATCTCATCTCTACAAAAAATGAAATTACCCAGGCATGGTGGCACGCATTTGTAGTCCCAGCTACTCAGGAGGCTGAGGCGGGAGGATCTCTTGAGCCCAGGAGGTTGCAGTGAGCCGAGATCATGCCACTGCAGTCTAGCCTGGGTGACAGAGTGAGACCCTGTCTCAAAAACAAACAAAAACAAAGAAAATGTGGTGTATACATACAATGGAAGATTATTTTAGCCTTAAAAAAGGAGGAAAGAAACGTCATATGCTTCAACTTGCATGAAAATTGAGGACACTATGCTAAGTCAAATAAGTCAGTCATAAAAGAAAAAGACTGCATAATTCCACTTACATGAAACAAAAAGTAGAAGTGTGGTTGCCAGGAGCTGAAGGAGGGGGAGAAAGGGAGTTGTGGTTCAATGAGCAGGGTTTCAGATTTACAAGATGAAAAAGTTCTAAAAATCTGTTGCACCACAATATGCATATAGTTAATAGTGCTGTACTGTACACTTAAAAATGGTTAAGACAGTCAGTTATATGTTATGCATTTTTTTACCGCAATAAGAAATAGGAAAACAAATTCTGACACATGCTGTAACGTGGATGACCCTTGAGGACATTATGCGAGGTGAAGTAAGCCAGTCACAGAAGGACAAATACTGTATGATTCCACCCTGGAGTAGTCAAATTTATATAGACAGAAAGCAGAATGATAGTTGCCAGGGTGGCAGGGAGAGTGCAATGGGGATATTGTCTGATGCGTGAAGAGTTTTAGTTTTGTGAGATGAAGAGAGTTCTGGAGATGGATGGTGGTGATTCTTGCACAACAGTTTGAATGTACTTAATGTCACTGAACTGTACATG